CTTTCTCAAGCACACTTTTGTATTTTTAATGAAGAGATAGTTAGAAAAGTAAAATGCTGCTAAGGGTGCAACACAGGACATTCGAGTTATAATATACAATTAAAAATCATATGTCAATGAGATCAATGCTGGGTCGAAAACCGTTCACTGTTATGCACACCTACAGAAACCCAACTCCAGTCAAAAGCGAGCTGAGGGAGTTACAAAATCGAGCAACACAACCAGAGTGAGAAGAGACATGCAAAGAGTTAGTGCTTTGGGGGGAAGGGATGGAGAACACAGAGAAAGCAAGAGACCATTCGAAATAGGTACATACGGGCGCTCCAGAAGAGTTTCAGGCTCCTTCAACCTGTAAACCAGAGGTGGAACACACGAATGAAATGAGAGCCACAGAAGAGCTTGGTCCGTTAAAGGGCTAGAAGTTGCGAACAATAAAGATCTTAGCTACAAAATTAAAATTGACAGCCATGCTGATTCCATAAATAAAATAAAATTGGCGTTAGCAGATTTTCCTTTTTTTTTTAAATAAAAAAGCAATCTGATCTGGCTACAGACGATATATAAACAGTATTGAGGTTCGCAGTCATCTAGTGGACCGAAGTTTGTTATAAAACATGTATAATAAATTGAAATAACATTTTTATTAACAGAAGAAAACATAAATTAAATGAAACAAAAACATAAACATTAAAACACTTAGTCACCAAAAATGATTGAGAAGGGGTTAGAGACGCCACGATTCTGAAAAACGTAACAGTCAGGTGCAATGTTGGTGTTTATGATTACTCGATCGTGACGAAGTGCGAACTGCCGACGTTCCTTCAACTCTGGTCTCTTTGGACAAGGTTAATGTACTTATGAACCGAGTCCTCAGAAATAGCCATCCACTCAGAACGCTGTACGGTAATTGGCAGATACGGGACGATGACCTGCAGGCTGAGCCGAGAGAAAATCATTTTTCATCCCTTTCACCGCCGACAGTGATAAAAAGTGGGCCACAAGACGCCAAAGAAAAATGGGCAAACTGCTTCATTGACCCCTCCAGGCTCCAGGGCTCCCGGGGGCACCTATTCATGAATTCTAAACTCAGAGACAGTGGCGCAATACGCAAGAAAACCCCCCAAGTTATTTGCTCACGATAACAAGAATAAATAAAACATGGAACGAGATCAAAAAAGGCCCACAGAATGGCCGCACGGGTTTTTCCTTGCGTATTTATAGAGCAAGGTGGAGCTGGCTCTCGGTGGGGCGGCGACCCCGACGCCGTGTACGGCTGTAGCGCGGCCGCCCGGCGCCTCCAAGATGACCGGAGGTGGCGCTGCGCAGTGCCTCGGCTTTCGTTCGTTATGTTTCGTCAATATTTGCAGGTCTGCCCGGTGAACCTCTCCAGGGTGCGCACGATTCGGGTGACCCGGGGGAGACAGCGCAGAGGAGGATACTCCGTGCCGAGGGGGTCAAACACGGTGTGGCTGACGTCACGGTGCAGCCAGGCCCTGCACCGCCCGTGTGTGTGTGTGTGTGTGTGTGTGTGTGTGTGTGAGCAGCAGACTACGAGATGAAGGCCGGAGCGACGGCCAAGTGTACGACGATTGTGCCCCCACCCCCTCCCCCTTCCACCCGTCGCTACACTGGGACAAGGCCGCGGCTTGGAGGGTTTATGCCCAGGCCGTCATCCTAATTGCGGTGACGAAATAATGTCGGAAATCGCGTTGCCGCATCTCTTTGCCTCTTCCGGCGTTCGCGGCTTATGGCGGCATGCGGACCGTCCGGCCGGCCCAGTGGATTTGCCAGAAGACCGGTGGCGGCGGTCAAAATGCCGGACGCGTTTTGAGCTCCAGAGTCCCTCAATTGGCCTGGAACCAAACGTGTGACCCCACCAACGGATTGCTCTCTGAACGAGGAATCCGTTGGTGGGGTCGCACGTCCGGTTCGAGTCCCATTTAGCGACTCTGGAACGCGTGTAGAGTTTTGGCCGCCTCCACCGGCCTTCTGGCCCACTGTGGCCGGGTCCACTGCCCGTCCCGGCCCGTCCCCGCAGCCCTCGGCCTTTGAAAGACGGGCGGCGCGGCGCAGCGCGAAAAGGCAGAAAGGCCGCACGAGAGGATAAACTCCATCGCCGCGTAATTAACTTTCCATCCTCGCCAACTTCGCCGGAGAGGGAAAATGAGAGGGGCGGGCAGGGGGGGGGGGCTTATTTTAACGGTGTTAGGGCACAGCTCGGCGTCCGCGGCCTGGACGTGCATTGGCACTCGCACCGTGTGTAGGACCGAACTTGAACTGAGCGTGTGACCCCACCAATGGATTTCTCGTTCGGAGAGCAATCCATTGGTGGGGTCACACGTTCGGTTCGAGTCCCATTCAGCGACTCTGGAGCTCAAAACGCGTCTAGAGTTTAGGCCGCCTCCACCGGTCTTCTGGCCCACTGTGCGACGTAAACGACTCTCAGTGTGCGGCCTGCCCGCTGACTCCACTATCGATTGCCGCTCTCGACACTCCGCACGGTTGGCCGGCTTTGTGAGCGGCAAAGACTAAAATGTAAAGAACCGCCGCCGAAAAGAGGGCGGGAGGGGCGGATCCAGGGGGTAGTGCGCGAGGGGGGGGAGGCGGCAATAACACAGGAAGGACCTTGACAGCGGTGGCGCACTCTACCGGCCCGCGCCGCAACGCCGCGAGTTGACCTCACGACAGAGGGCGCTGGCGTCGCGCTGGCGTCGCGCTCGCGTCGCCAAATCAATGGCCGGGATGAGCGCTCCAGGCCGCGGAGCGCGGAGCCACGGCGGAGCGCTGGAGCGACTGGAGCCTGCTGGCCGGCCTGCACACTGTCCGAGAGTCGTCGTTTTCGTCGCCCTGTCTCTCTCGCACCCGCAAGGGACGCGCCGTGAGTGCGAGAGAGGAGGAAGAAACTCCCGCACAAAAGAAAGAAAAAGTACGTTTGAAATTTGGAACATTTCGCGGAGAGAAAATGTGAGTGTCAGTTTGGGGTGAGGTCTAACGGTGTACCCGCGCGCGCGGCGCGAACCTCAAAAACGTTTCATTGCGGCTGTTAGCGAAAGAAAAATGATGGTCGGAGCGCCTGGTGGGTAGGCCGCAGCACGCCGCTGTGCCGCGGGCCGGCCTACCCGGCCGAGCGCGGGCGCTGGAGGCGCGGGGTAGCGCCGGTCCCCGACCTGGGCGAACACGGCGGCGCTACCCCACGCCTCGCGGATACCCCGCGGCTGGGCGGCCATGCTGGGCAGCGCGCTGCTTGCGGCGTCCGCCGACAGAACGCGCCACAAGTGGTTGGCGTGGCTGGCGTGGCTGGCTGGGGCCCAAGCAGGTGGATCCGACTGTACTACGGCGGGCTGCACAGCCGCCTGGCCACCTTGGGCTCCGCCAGGATCCGCCGCGCCCGGCCGGGTGGCCACCCTACAAAGTTTTCATTTCATTACGGGCGTATCGGCTCTGTATCGGGTCGGGCCTGGGCTGTCCTTGTTTTCCCATTTTCCGGTGGCGTTGCTGGAACCGCGGCCGTGGCGCGTGCCGCCCGGGGCAAGGTGATGACGACGGAGCCTGCTTCGCTCGCGGCGACTAGCGGCGACCTGCCGAGTTCTCGGCGGACTGGCGCCTGCGCGACATGCAGCGCCGCTAACGAAGAAGAAGCACATCTCTGCTGTCTCCGGACGTACCCAGTTTCCGGCATCGAAGCGGAGGGTCTCGGGCGGGGCGGGGCGGGGCGGGGCGGGGCGGGGCGGGGCGCCGTGGGACGGGTCGGGGCCGCACGGGCACAGCCGAGACCGGGCCGGGGTGCAAAGTCATTAGTGTCGGTGTGTCAGAGGAGCCCCCGACCCCCCAAACCGTCTCCGGGGACCTTCCGTGCGCCGCAAGGCTGCAAAAAGGCCCCCCGGGTGCTCCGCCCCGCCCCGCCCGCCCCGCCCGCCCCGCCCCGCCCCGCCCCGCCCCGCCCCGCCCCGCCCCGCCCCGCCCCGCTCCGCCCCGCCCCGCCCCGCCCCGCCCGCCGTGCCATGCTCGGCGTTCGAGGCAAACACGCTTATTCTAACAAGATTCTGCCACTGTGCGAGGCTGCAGAATGATTCCGAGAGTCGTTTTCGTCGCTCTGTCTCTCTGGCACCATGTGGGACGCCTACGAGTGCGAAAGAGACGGAACGACGAAAACCAGTCTGCTAGCGCGAAGCGGGACATTTGGCCGCATTTTGCCACGTTTTGGCGCTCGGGCCCGCCGGGCCCGGGTTCGAGTACCGGCGGGGGCTAACGAGGCTGCATCAGCGTGTCGCGGCCACGATAAGGGAGACAGGCAAGCATAAACTTGCAAATCGATACCGGTCCGACTAAACTCGACAAAAAAAAAAAAATGACGTGGGTGCTGGTTTTCGATCATGACTGTTTTTGATGGTGTGACGGTCAGCGTGTGGAAAACGCGGTGAAAACGCGGAGGCGTCGTGTGAAACCTGCCAAGGACACAATGTGGACAGACACTATGCAGCGCAGGCGACGTTGCGACGTCGGGCTCACGGTCAAAGTGTGTTTGCGGCTCTTTGTGGGCACAACAAAAGGAAACGCACTATACACAAGACAAGCACAGATGGAGAAGGTCCCCGCTGAGCGGGTCATGGAGTCCGTGGGTCATGCAGGAAGGTACAGCACTGTACATGTACAGAGAGGCAGCGACAACGCTTCGGCTCCGGAACCCGACGTCCACGCAAAATGTACCATCTTTATTTATTTTTTTTCAAAAAGTGTAATACATACTGAAAAGTTTTCAATCACTTTTTTAAAAAAGTATTTTTTTTTTTGCGTTACGTTTTACGTGCATATATTATGGCGGAGAGGAGGGTCCCCCTCCCCTTGATCAAAGAGCGCGCCACGACGTTGCATCGCGACGAACGCCTTCAAATTGGCTGCAGGGGGGACGTTTGACTCCGGAGGAGAGCGACAACAAACGCGCAAATGAAGAACAGGAAAGAAAAGAAGAGCGTTTCAGAAAAAAGAAAGCAGGTACGAACCTCTCGCTGGCGATGGAAGAATTCCTCGACATGGACTTCGGTGACATCTCGAAGTCCGAGTCGGAGCGGTAGAGGAAGGACTCTCTCCGCTGAGGGAGGTTCTGCAGGACGAGTCCTGCCGAGGGTGAGGAGGCCACCCCGTCCAGGGGGCTTCGGCCGGGACCGCCGCCATTCTCCACATCAAAGCTGCGAACAAAAGAAAAACGCTGTCAGAAAAAAAAAGTTGAGCCGCGAAGGAGTTGCATCCGATAAGCCAGTTTGCGTTGGCGTGGTTGGTTCGGTAATCCCTGACGAAGTACGCCGCCCACGGCATTGGCAGCCCGAAAGCAATCCCACTGATTGTGGTTCGACTCGACGGACGAATTGAACGAATTGAACGAGTCCACTCAGCGGGATTTCGCACACAGAGACCTCAAACAGCGGGCCGGTTTACACACAGCAAATGCAACAAACGCGCCTTGCAACAAACAGAGCTCTGGGCAGTTCGAAAGTTAAGGGCGAGGTCTCCAGCACCTAACCTAACACAGCAACCCGGCTACAACAACCACCTCATTCGTGACGCGACTCCGCTCCGTTCTATTTTTTCGCAAAGGACACTTTTGTGTCGCTATCAGCGCCGCCCTTACAGCGCCGTGGCCTTGATAAGCAGGACTGTCCTCGCAATCTGGCATCTCAGAATGAGGGAGGCGAAAAGGGGAAGGGAGGCAGAGGGACTGTTTGACGGTGGCGTGTCACTAGTCGCATCGCAGCAAGAGGAGGAAACTCAAATCTTCGGGGGAGTGGTGTCGTCTCCTAACAGAATTTTAGACATTTTTTTCTAAAGAAAAACAGGTCTTGAACCGAACGTGTGGCCCCACCAATGGATTCCTCGTTCGGAGAGCAATCCGTTGGTGGGGTCACACGTTCGGTTCAAGTTCCATTTAGCGACTCTGCAGCTCAAAACGCGCCTGGAATTTCGGCTATTTCTGGTAAATGCTCTGTGCGTTGGCTTCTCGCTTGAATGGCCGGCCGATTCCATAACAGCCGTCGCTCTGTCTCTCTCGCACTGCAGCATTTTCTAAATCCAAGCACGGTCGTGGTGTTAATTAAATTAACATCGCGGCACGCCGGCCCGGTGCAGTGCAGGCGAAGCTGGGCGAAGCGGCCCCGATGATTAAGAGGCCAAACGGGGCCCAAAAGGCAACGCTCGGCAAAACCACAAAAAAACAGCAGCACCAAACAATTTTCCTCGTCCAATCAAACAACTTTACGTTCGAAAAGGTTCGCGAGTGAGAGCCAAAACGCGTGTTTCGCGCCCCAAAGGACCGATTCGTTCGGGTTTATTGAGGCAGTGTGCACGCATGGATGGGTGTCGCGGTGTTAATGGGACATCTCTGTTCCGTGCATGTGTGTGTGTGTGTGTGTGTGTGTGAACGTGCATGTATGTGTGAATGATTGTGTACGGCCTAGCGAGGTCCTGTGTGTGTGTGTGTGTGTGTGTGTGTGTGAGAGTGTGTGTGTGTGCGCGCGCATGCGTGTGTGCTGACTTCAATCTGCGACGGCTCCGACCGCCGCCGGGCCAAAGGTTTACAGTCAATTACACTCGAGGAGGGAGAAATGACGCTAATTGCACGGTGGTACTACACTCGAACACACACACACACACACACACACACACACACACACCACACACACACACACACACACACGCTTGTGTCTGTGCAGCACGCCAATAAAGTCTTTGCAACGGAATGAAAATAATGGCGTTGATTCAAATCGCGGAGCAAGTCGTAACCCCCGAGAGGCGAGTCCATGCATCACGCGGCGAGGAGCCGATTAGTTCACCCCGCCATCAAGGCGCGGCGCGGCGCGGTGAAAATGCGTGAGGCCGCCTCCCTCCCACGGCCGCAGCACACTGATTCCGAGAGTCGTTTTCGTCGCTCTGTCTCTCTCGCACCTACACGGGACGCCCCTTGAGTGCGAGAGAGGCAGAGCGACGAAAACGACCCCCGGATTCAGTGTGCAGGCACGTCGGCAGGGTTCGCTGAATGCACGACTCCCGCGTCAAACGCTAAACGGAAATTGATGTTCTCCTTTGCAAAGAAACAACAGAGAAACGGGATCGTCCATTTATGACGTCACGTTTTTCATAGCCTTCGCCCTTTGTTGCTCCTCGTGGACCGCCAGTGAGTGCGAGGGAGACAGAGGGCGTTACGCAATTTGTGGACGAACCCGCTGCAAGGCGGGCACATCTGCCCGTTCAAGCTCGCGGCCATTTTAACTCGGGCACATCGACGGCGGCTCGGATTTCAGGAGCGGGTATCGCCTTTCGGAAACTCCACTGCCAATAAAAAAAGAGAAAAAAAAACTCGGAAGAGGACGGGTCTTCGCGTTTCATGAATACGAAACGCAGCGCGCAACTTCTTGACGCGTGTCGCTGAAACGGAACGGCCGCTGCCGGCCACAACGCCGGTCGACGAGAAGGGAGGCAAATGTTATTTTCATGAAATAAATGAATGAGGAGTCGTTTGGAAAGGGAAACCACGCGCACCCTTCTTGGAACGAGTCACCGAGGCTCTCTCTCTCTCTCTCTCTCTCTCTCTCTCTCTCTCTCTCTCTCTCTCTCTTTGAGTGTGGCGCCAGCGTTGTCCATTCATTCGCAGCAGACCAACAGAAACCTGCAGTGGGTGCCCCGACTGCTCGCCCGACTGGCTGAGAAAGGGTATAGGAGGGCTGGGCCACAACCAACCACTACACTTGACCATACAAACCCACCTACCCTCCCCCCCCCTCTCTTTCTCTCGCGTGTGCTTCGGCACTGACAATTGCACCCAGCCGGTCAGAAAATGGACGGAGTGACGGCAGAGACGAACAAAAAAAGGCGCCTATTATTCTCCCATCACTCGTCGCGATACATGCATGTGTCGTTTGCGAAGGCTTACGGCAGCACCACAAAACAACGGTCCGTTCGTTTTTATGACTTTTATCGCAGCGCTGCAGGAAGAATCAATGAGAAAGTTCGTCAAATTTGCGACACTTTTCTCTGTCTGTCTGTCTGTCTGTCTGTCTGTCTGTCTGTCTGTCTGTCTGTCTGTCTGTCTGTCTGTCTGTCTCTCTCTCTCTCTCTCTCTCTCTCTCTCTCTCTCTCTCTCTCTCTCTCTCTGGCTGGAACTGACTCAACGCGTTGCCTGCTCCGCGGCGTGCGCGAGAGCCGCGAAGGTCGGGAGGGCTTGCGTCCCTGGAGGTTGCAGGCGACCACTATAGTCCGTGACAACGTTTCTGTGCAGAGACCTGGCTCGGGCCGTACACTTACAGTCAAAAATCGGCACCTTGGGCATACACATGTGTCCGGAAGGGAAGGGACACATGGTCTGCTCTACTTTTGTACAGTCGGTACAGTCCACAGCATTTTTGCCTCGGCGACACGCAGGGTGGGGGCGGGGCCGCCTGCTGACGGTCGCGCCGTCTGGTCCTGGACCTTCTCGGAAGACGAGCCGAGACTAATTAGCATAAATCTAGGAAAATTAGTTTCTAACAACTTGAGAGTAAAACGCAAAACATTTTTGGATTCCTTACAGAATGGAGAGTAAGAGCATGTTTGAATCATGTTTCTACGACGCTCCGTTCGAATTTTAGCCGGCAGGTGCTTCGTTTGAACACCTTGTTGAACGGGCAACTTCGTCCTTCAAAATCGTCGTAGAAACAAGTGATTGGTATCTATTTTCTTCTCTTTGCGCGAGGATGAAGAATATGACCTCCAAATCATTAAACAATTAACCCTAGCAAAAATCGAAATCGGTACTAGGCGCCCCGCCTCCTTTGGGGATGGCAGGTAGGGCCACCCTCCTTCCCCCCAGCACGGAATCTGCACGCTGAACCAAGATGCATTTGCGTAGTGACTGTACGCCCCAAGCCAGGTCTCTGCACAGAAACGTTGTCACGGACTATAGCGTTAACGAGGCGCTGCAGGGCGTGGCAGTGGCTGCGTGGTGCAAGGAGAGGGGGCTTTTCTCCAGGGGATTTTCCAGGGGATCCTCCAGGGGAGTGTGGCCCCGGCCCGGAATAGAGATGAGCTCACAGTGTGGACGTGAACGAGAAGTCTCTTTTAAAGGATGAAGGCGCCAAGCGTTCCGCGGAAGGACTACCGACTGCCATCATCGGGCTGAAATGAGCTTAAAATCTTTTTTGTTGGAGAAGTGACGATGGACGTGCCGAAATTTCTCTTTAATTTTCACAGTGTGGCTCAGGGCAGGGCGACTACAGCCAACGCAACAAGTAGCACCTAGTGGCGCCCTGGGCCACGCCAAGCGGGCTGCAGGATGGATGACACGCCGCTTGGCTCGTGTGTGCAAACAAAAGCAAAAACTTTTGTTTCCGACTGTACCGCGACTGTACGCCAAATCCGCGTGCACCGCGCCGGGATTAGCGCAGTGACTCACTGCTTTTCACTGTTTCAAGAGTGTAGGCGTCTGGCCGCTATCTTCGGCCGAATCGCGGATTGATTTTCGCCAACAGCTAAAGAGGCGACTGCTTTGCGAAGTCCGAGAGCGGGGCGGCGTACAGTCTGTCTCAGGTCGGAAGAAGCCTGGCGACGGTCGCGTTGGCGCGGTGGTAGTGCCACTACCTGCTGTTGAGGGTGGTGGCCCGGGCCGGGAAGGGTCTGTCCCTTTTCATTGGCACCCGAGTTGGCACCGCATTTGTAATGAGCGCCGAGCAGTGCGTATTGAACAAGTGCATTGACATAAAATTTGTCCAGTCTGATTTCAAAAATGGACTGAACAGAAAATTTCAGCTGGATTACAAAAAAGATTGAAATCCGTACCTCAATTTTGAGTGCTAAGTTGAGTGCCGGAATTCCGACGCCATCCAGCTCCGTGGTGCCTCAAAATGGTCACAGAAACGTCCCGTTTGCACGAAAATACTTCATTTTGTGCGCCTATTTCTACCACGCAACAACGGGGAAAAATATTTTTAAAAGCTGAAATTTTGTAGTTGAACTGGAGTTAAAAGCCAGCCTCTTTTGTCCTCGCTTGCACCCCCACAATGGGGCGTGTCGGGAGGGTCCCGGCGAGGGCCTCCGCCTCCGCACGCAGGTAGCCGTGTTGCTGCGGTGGCTGAGGAGGCAAGTGAACCTCGCCAGGCTTCTTCCGACCTGAGACAGACTGTAGTCACAGCCACTGCAAGCAATCGTTCATTTCGGAAGAAAG